CTATAATATAATTGTATAGATACAACGGTGAATGAGACTCTTCAAAGAAAATATGATTTTTTTTCTAGTAACACAGTTCTAGACATATTTTATGACATTTTGAGAGAAACGTGTAAAATAATCTAACGAAGAAGTTACGTTGCGATGTTACTCCTGAACCACCAAAAAGTAGTTTAGGAATGTGGCAGTAAAGAACCGCCCTAGCTGTTTGTACTTGTTCAATATTGACTTAACCAGCACTTCCTCTACAATTGCCACATGGAGGCTAAAATTTGCTCCCACCCCTCCAGGCTAGTATCAAAAACTAAGCCCATAAAACGCGGCCTGATTTCCTGAGTTCCATCATTCAGGGAATCTCAAGCCAAAGACTTCATTCAAGCCAGAAAATCAAAGCGTTTACTCTAGTGACGAAAGTAAGATGAAGACACTATTCATTCTTGCAGCTTTGACTCTAGTCGCGGTGTGGACCGTTGAAGGTAATTACCGTTCTTCAATCTTGAAGCATTATAGTTCTTTTTCTTTTGCGTTTGTTGTTTCAAATTGACSTTCAGTACAGTGAAGCTGCACTCAATCCGTGAAAATTGGTTTATAACTTTATTTTTGAACGGAGTATTATAGTATTTCTTTATACTGACTGATACATATTCACTCGAATAATATTTTGGGGAAATAGTTATAGGTTTTTCTCTGTTTTGATTGATTGGCTGAATACTTCATGTACGACATACTTCATTCTTTCGTAGCAAGAACAAATTTTGCAGCAATGAATTGCACTCTCTGCCTTTATTTTTAAGTAATTAACAGCTTCTTGATGATTTCACAGGAGCAAGAGTTCAAGATTCCATCGTTCTTCGCGTGTTCAACAAAGATTTGAGAATCTCTTCTGCGAAGATGCACGCGATCCTCAAAAAGGCCAACCTTGAATCCCACGGGTTCGAGAAGGAGGTCATCACTAAACTAGTCCGTCATCCAGTCAGCAAAAAAGCTGAGTACACCAAGACTTACTACTACTACAAGACGGTAACTTGTGACAAGGCTCTAGAAGTTGAGCAGGAACTGGAAAAGCTTCTTGGAGGTAATTTGTTGTTTGTTTTGTCCAAAATGATATAATCTGAGGCTATACAAAAGGGATACAAAAACATTTGTCATTGAGTTCTAAATCGTTCACATGGTTTGTCATGTGATCATAAAAAAGCGTATGATTCTCCCTTCTGAGTAAGAACCTCCAACACATGTGAATTTAATAGAGGAAGTTATATTTTTTATGGTGAGTAAAATAACAAGCAAGTGAACACTGCGAAAATAGCACTTTTGAACATCAATTGTCAGTAATGTCGTTTTATCCAGTACATTGTTTTTTTCTAGTTTAAAGTGAATTCAGCAAGATTTTCTAGTATTTTTCAGCCATATTTACTTCAATTCAAATGAAAAAAGTTCTAACAACTGAAAGACTGAATCCTTCGCTCTTGCGAATAGTTTTCATTATAAACAATAAACCAATATATTGCATTGACATGTTGCTGCAATTTTGCTCATCGTATTTAAAAAAACCGTTATGCAAAATCGTCCTGTTAAAACGTGTGTTATGTCGGATTGAAATCGATCGCGGAATGAAAGTCCTCACGTTGCATCTTAAATATCTCTTGTTTACTTCAGGTAAAGTACTTGGAGCGAGCGTTTATCGTAAGGCTCAGAGAGACTTCAAGAAAATCGGTGACCCAACAAAAACCTGTAAATCCGGACTCGAGGTTCATTTCAGAAACCAGCAGCACTGTGGGAAAATGGCGGACGACGAGAACCTTGACAAACGTAGTGCAGCACCTTGTGGTTTTTGCCTGGGATGCTGGCGTGCAGTTAAATATTGATCATTGTAACGCCTTAGGTGCAAAATGACTAAATCAGAACATAAATTACAATAAAGGAACTTATTAGTCTCAATGAAAACCCGTGTGAGGTTTGTTTACTTTGTCTTTGTCTTTCAACAAGCTGCTGAACAACATTGAAACAAATTACAGGGGAACTTTTAGATATGTGTCAAGGAGTATTAAAAACTCAATTCAATTTCTGAATGTGGCCTGTGTGATGCAGGGTACATTGGTTTTTACATGGAGACATCTTGTATCGGAGAATTAAATAGGGTAAAATTAGAATGAACGTGAGAAAGGTATTTGTAATTCGCACACGACGTGGATCCTCAGCCATGTAAAAGCCGAATCTCAATGACCAATCAGATTCATGGCACGGGCACCCTGTGACCCTCCCCTGGATAAGCCCCCGCTCCTGTGCATATCAACAATAAAACATTATTCTGTTTGGTTTGGAGATGACGATAGGATGTTGTCCAAACGCCTTGTTTCTTTCTCTTCTATTCCGATTAACAATGTCAAAACGAGTTGTGCCAGCGTTTAGCACCAGTAAACTGATATCCCCTTCAAATAGGATTGCCGATGACAACGGCGGATTTAATAGAATACAGTACTGCCTTAGATGTGCAAATATTGCTTAAAAGTTTTGGTGATTACATTTTTTAATTGGTCCCACAACCATTTTCGAAATGGAAAGATGAGACTCAAAAAAAAAAAAAATGATAAAGAAAGGGATAGATAGAAGCATCTATAGGCAGACAGACAGACAAAACTTCTGAGTGACGTTGTTAAAGCATTCAGTTATCTACAAAATGTACGTTAGATATTATATATATTACAATTCATCTTTGTCATGATTTGCCATGACAAACTTATACAAGCTTTCTAAATCACGATTACCGTTGTATTCCTGCTTCTGGTTTCCTTCTTTGAATAACATTAATGTTGGGTATCCATTGACCTTTGATAAAATAACACAAAAATATTTTCATAAGAAATACCGTTTCACTGTAGCAGGATTAACGTGTTATCAAAAACTTCCCCCCCCCCGGCAGTTTCCCCCCTCAGCCCCCTTTCATCAATGTTGGGTCTTGTTTTGGATGCTTGTGTACTATGCTAACATGATCAATGACAACATTGCATTAAGGGGACCTCAGGGGGTATTAAATTGTCTGCAGGTGTTGCTTAAAATGAGGAAATTCGCTGGAATGGTCCAAGGATTTTGTCAACGATTGTAGAGGGCATTAAGTTAGAGATGGTACACTTCAACCAATGAAATATGAACATACGAAACGTCAGTAAGTTATTTCACATATACATTTTTAATGGGGTTAAAAATCTTTGTGCACAACTGTTTCTTTAGAAACACCAACGTAGCCCACACTAGTTTAATGCTAGTTCCCACCATTTTCACATAATCCAGTACAATTGGGCACTATTCAAACTTTAGAGTTATTCAGGGTTTTAGGTACTATAGCAATATGGATATTTTTTTTTCGGTCCAGTATCCTAGTCATTCGCGCGCTGTGATTGGCTAGCGCGCGGTCCGGTTTTTCACGATCTGCCCGGTCCACGGTATCCTGCAGCTAGCGTGCGAGCAAAGTTGCATAAAATAGAAATAAAAAAAATAAAAATGTTATTTACTGGCTATAGGTCGGTCCGTAAAGGAAAACACTGCCCGAGGTCTTTTATGTACGGACCTCGCTGCGCTCGTTCTGTACTGTCAAGACCTCGGGCAGTGTTTTCCTATACGGACCTCCCAGCCGGTAATAACATATATAGATAATTCATAATATTCAGCTGATCCAAGATAGATCAGATGGAAATCAAACACATTTTACTTACTCCAAAACTTTGACACAATTTTTCCTCGGCTGTGCAATCAACCTGAAAATAAATCCAAAAAATAACTAAAAATAAGCCTTCCTTGCCACCTCCCATCAAATTTCAAATCCCTTCCATCCTCTGCAAGGTCGCCTTTGACCTGCTATGTCACCTTAGATCCTATCAAAGTCACATCAACAGAGCAATTCTCCCTCTAAGTAGGGGACATAAATAAGATCCGATGTTGGATGGTTTGAATAGTTCATAGTTCTCCAAATGTTACCATTCATCAAAAAAAACCCTTAGATTTGCAGTTCTCATGCCAAGAACAAGCTAGCCCTTTTGAAAAAAGTACCTTGGTACATCAAAGAGTACTCACTTTAGCAATTTTAGGCCCTCCAGCTGTTTCTGCACATTTATTGGTTAACTGATCCCAGATTGGCGCAAGTTTCTTACAGTGAACGCACCTARATATGACAGAAAAMAATATGAAATCATAACTTTGACAGCACTTGCACAGCTAACAAAAAGTATGAGACTATGATACTTTTTAATTAGAAGCTCATTTTTTTGGTAACCAATGGTTGACTGGAAAACAATTCTGGACGTACTGTTCCAGTTAGTAAGCAATGTATCATGCATGTATCCTTTCCATTCTAGAACTATGAATGCTTACCATGGCGCATAGAACTTGACRAAKGTGGTCCCCATGGAAACCATTGCTTCAAAATTATTTTCATGAAGCTGATATGGTTTAATCTGAAACAGCATCATGAATTTTTTAGTACATTTTTATATTATTATGTGACCCATTCCTTTTATTAATGGAAATATTATGACTTTATTTTTTCATCTCATAGACAATTGGAAATCACGATTTTAACATTTACCATGTCATCATCATCACCACTAGTTGACTTTGTTGGTGGTGTGGTGGGTGGCGATGWTGTGGGTGGTGTAGTGTATTTTGCTATCTTTGCGGCAACATAAGATTCTAATTGGTGGAGTCYTCTGTCACCAGTATACTGGTCAACCTATCAACAAGCAGTGTTTAAAAATACACTAACCATTAATATTCGTGAGAGGAGGACCTAAATAAGGAGGCAGCATCATTTAAGAAACAAGAACACATTAACTGCATTAGCTYACAGTACATCTACAGTGTACTCTAAGCTGAGCTGCTAGAATAAAACGGACCAGTCAAATGATGTGAAATTCAGACAGCAATAGGACTGACAGCAATGTTATCCAATCAGATTAAAGTATTCTAACCTATGCTCTTTTATCAATCAATATGATTGGCTGTAAGTTATTAATAATCTTAATCATAAGCTAAGTTCTTATCAATCAGTCTACGTAATATACTAGTATATATAGACTCTACCTCTTTGCCATCCTGGAATAACTTAAGAGTTGGGAATGCATTAACAAATAGTTCAYTGCACTTTGACTTCTGAGTTGTGCAGTCAATCTAAAAAAGAGGAAATCAAATTATTTTGATAGCTCTGGAAACTTTATTGCAGAAACTGAGAAATAAGACCTTTGATATGGTGACTTCTGTTGAATCTTTGTACTTTGAAGCCAGTTTTTCCCAAACAGGTGCAAGCCGTACACAGTGAATGCACCTGAAATACAAAAAATGCTTTATAAAAGAAGAGAAAAGAAGTTTTAATACACACAACAACATAAACATCAGCTTTCCTTTTTTACCAGAGAGTTAGCTTGTTTGTCATGTAACACAGATTATACAACAACAACAACAACAAGTTGGGATCATGATAATATTATTCCAGATRCAATTCTTTGTTTACAGAAAAAAATGATAAAGAGACAGTAGCTCTTTTTTACCAYGGAGCATAGAATTTSATAAAATGAAGTCCTGATTCTGTTTTCTGGTTGAAATTTTCAGATGTCAAAACATGAACATCGTTTACAATAGTATCWGCAGTCTGTGTGCCATCAGTCTGAAAAAAGAATCATTAAAATGATTTTAATAATCATTCAATCATTAACAATGCATCAATCAATCAATCTAATCAATCAATCAATTGATAGTACATGTATTCAGCCAATCAGCACTGCTCTAAGAATGTATATACCAGTTCATAAATGCTACATCAATTTTACCTCTTTAAAGACTACTTGATTTGCAAACTTCATAAAATCAGCAATGCTTCTTTTCCCATAGTATCTCTTGACTCCACCACCATTGTACAACCTTAACCTTAACATCAATGAATTCAAAATACATTATTGAATATTATTGCAAACACTAATAGTTCACTTGTTATTGCTATCGTCAGTCTCAACACTCTCACTTTCTCCAAAATACATTCAAAGATTAATGTCTTGCAATTCAAGCACTTGGTGACTGTCTTGAAAATGGTTATGTGTAGTTTAGAGTTCTGATAGATTGGARCACGCAGTGTTGAACTGAGGGAGTTCTCATTATTGTAATTGAAGGACGCTTCAGAGATTTTCACTGTAATAATTGTAAGAAGGACATAGTCCTTTTCTGAGATAGCAGTTTGCATTGCATTGTGGTCTAGATTTTCTGCCAAATATGGTATTGTTTGTACCAAAGCTAGACCACAATGCACCATGATTTTTGTATTTCAGAAAAGGTGTATTATAAAGGAGTGAAGAGATTGAAGATTGTTCGAAGATTATGTACAAATGAACAATGAGTGAATGAAATGGAATTGAAAAAACAATCTTACGATGGATATGCTTTAATATTTTGCTGTGCGCACAATGCTGTCTCAGCTACACAATCAACCTGCAGATATAAACAAATATTGATCAATAAATCTGTTATGCAGATCTCAATGTTTTGATTTGAAAGTTTATGTGTGCATGCTACTTTCTTTTCTTTAACTAATAATTTTTATGGACCACAATGGACCACAATTCTTGACACAGCAAAGCAGAATGCTTGGTTCATAATAATATACAGTTTGGTGGATATATGATGGATAATAAAGTCTGGGTAGTATCGCCGTATACGGGAAACCTCAGGGGAGTTTATTGTATAGGCTTTATTTGGGGTTCGCTAATTTGAATCTTACCCGAGACAAATTTTTTTAACACGAGGAGAACCAAAATCCTTTTAAAAAACGTTTCTACGTCCCACTCGTATGTTCGGAAACCTATGACGTACTTGTTTTAAATCTTACCCGAGACAAATGTTTTTAATACGAGGAGAACCAAAATCCTTAACACGTTTCTACGTCCTGCTCGTGTGTTCGGAAACCTATGATGTACTTGTTTACACAGTACACAAAGATAGTACCAAAGTCTGATACCATGTAACATGATATTCACTAAATCATAATACCTTTCCAATGTTTATTTGCTTGGCTTTCTCATTATATTCAGAT